ATATATCTCAGTTCGAGCTTAATGCCCTGCCGCTAGATGGCTCATGATTCTGGCTCAGAGTAAGAGTAGTCTGTTTGACTTGAACAGATTAAACAAGATGATTTCGTCTGTCCGACCAGAAAAAGATACTGATGAGATGTGATACTTACGCTCGCTCGTCCAGAGATAAGAGACCCAGCCTATACCATGCTGATAAGTAGCTAAGAAGCAGGAAACAGTTGTCCATGATTGGCTGTCTTCTTTTTCTAATCGGACGGGCGAAAACATCTTGATTTAGCGGTTCAAGGCAAATAGACCACTTCTACTCTGAGCCAGAATCATCAGCCATCTAGCGGCACGGCTATTACACTCGAACTAAGATCTTTGGCAGTTCCACGGCAGTTCCAACTAATAGCAGGGGTGCGCGATCGATAGATGGCGCTACTGACATATTGACATAACACTGTTGACGCAACCAATAATCCAATAAATAAACGTCACAAGTCACATCAAAAAATGGTTTTGTTACACGTCATCCAGGAATATAAAAAATAATTGTTTATATATACTTTTAAAAACTGGCAATATCAAACTATTTCCCTATACAATAAGACATTTGTTCACAAAAGACATAAAGAAACATGTCTAAGATACAGGACTCCGTTGACGAACTATTTGAAGTTAAAAATTACTTCTACATTGGAAACTATCAACAGTGCATCAATGAGGCTCAAAAACTTCGAAAGGTGAATACTATTTGAGAATGTTTGACAACCGGCCTTACCTAATGTTACAGTCCAATTTTATATTTTCCCAAAAATACAATATTCAAGTTTGTTGCATTTTCTAGCCTTCAACACCTGAAGTGGCCGTTCAGCGCGACATATTTACATACAGATCCTATGTAGCCCAAAGCAAGTTCCTGGTTGTCGTCGATGAAATACATGGAGCATCCCCTCCGGAAATTCAACCGTTGAGGCTGTTGGCCAATTACATGTCTGCCAAGTTGAAGAAAGAGAAATACGACCATATTCTGGCTCAGTTGGAGCAGCAGTTGGCGAACAGCAGCAGTGGTGTTGTGAATGACACCTTGATTTTGGTTGCCAGCACGGTATATTGCAACGAGGATAATATGGAAGCAGCCTATAGAGTGCTACACTTATCAGATAGTCTTGAATGTATGTCATTTTTGGTTGATATCCTCCTAAAGCTGAATAGAGTTGATTTGGCAAGGAAGAAGTTGAAAGAAATGCAAGATAAAGATGATGATGCTATATTAACGCAGCTTGCCCAAGCCTGGATTAATATTTCTGTTGTGAGTATTTAGATACTACGTATACTGACTCATTCATTATCAGTATTTTCAAAATTAACATTTTCATATCTCAGTGTTCAAATATGTAGCAATTTAAAAGAGAAGGATTAGGTATTATATGTAGTTTTATCTTAAAATAGTCATAGTTGAAAATATTTTATAATAAAGTACAGTGGACCTCCGGTAAATCCGAAAAACATTATGCAGGGCAGTGTCGGACTATTGAATTTGTCGGATTATAGAGCACTGCCTAAGACCCGCTATAGTCCGGGATTTTTTACAAAAGAGTACCTGGTAATCCGACAAATTACATATCCAATGGTAAGATTATGTATACATATATGTTATGTATATGTATGTACTTTGAAGTACAAATCATACATAGTCTATGTATGTCGAATTTAGTAAATTAAATAACAATAGAGAGCTTACACTTTATTATAAAATTAAGCATAAATGCACATACATATGTACCAAAATAATCTAGAATTATTAATCAAAATCATTAATGAATTTATCAAGTTATGAAGCTTGGAAATATTCATCAAATTTTTTTTTGTTTAAGGTTGTTATAATACGAGATCAGAGCTTTGTCCCTCAGTCTTCTCAAAAGTAAAAGTTTGTTGTAGGATGTACCATTCTCTTCAGCCCATTGTAAACCTAGCTCAAAGGCATTAATTGCGTCTTGTGCTGTGACTTGTGGAGCAGTTGCAATCACGTCGTCGTTATTTTCCTGATTGTTGTATAATTAGAAACCTCCTGTATAACCTCTTCGTCAGACATTTAATGAAAAACATTTTCCTCTTTATCCATTCCACGGCACCAGATTTCCAAATCTTCTGGACTTATCTGTGTTTCAGTAGCGACTTGTTCTATAACTTCCGAAGTTACACTGATTTGTGGAACGTTGCTAGGAGTGGTGACTATATCTGGCCATAACTTTTTCCAAGACGATTTAATAGTTGATGACTGTAACCCACTCCACGACTGACAAGGAGCAAAAACCAAGTCTTTCATATTAAATTCTTTTAAAGTTTTTTCTATTGGTTGGTCTTTTGATACGGCTGTCAGAAGTAGGTTTTTCTTATAGTCTTGCTCGACAAACTGAATGATATTCTAGTCCATTGGTTGAATCAGTGCTGTGCAATTTGGCGGAAGAAATATCGCAGTGATACATTTATCCTTAGTTGTTAGTTCTTCTTCAGATGGATGACCGGGAGCGTTATCAAGAAGCAACAACGCTTTTTGAGAAAAATTATGATCTTTTAACCATTTTCTAACTTCAGGTACGAAGCATTCATCAAACCACTTTTTCAAAAGGTGTTTTGTCATCCATGCACTTTTTTGTCCGTAATACTGTACATGTAAATCAATGTTTTTGAATGCCCGTGGTTTATTAGATTTCCCAATGACCATCATCTTAAGCGCGTGTGTGCCCGCAGCGTTAGCACATGGTAATATGGTTACACGCTCTTTACTTACTTTTCGTCCAGGTACGGATTTTTCGTTACAAGAAACGAAAGTTTTGTTAGGCATCACACGCCAAAAAATCCCTGATTCGTCTGCATTGTACACCTGTGACGGGTCAAGATTTAAATCGTTCAACTTTTGCAAAAATCTTAATTTAAAGGGCTCTATGCAGGTGGCATCGTTAGAAAGTTTTTCTCTTGTAATAGTCATTAAACGTATGCCATGACGACTTTTAAAACGTTCTAGCCATCCTTTGCTGGCCACAAAATCATCTTTTGTACTATTTCCTTATAAAAAAACTTAGCTTTCATGGCCAACATGGGTTCTGAAATTGGTGCATACTTATTTCTTTCCTGAAGAAACCATATGTTCAAAGCTTCTTCCACTTCTGGATGTTCAGCTTTCTTGAGTGTCTGTCTCTTGCCTGCCCGCAGTCAGTAATTGACACGAACTTCTTGATCTCGTGGATTCTTTTAATGTCATAAATTGTAGATCGGGCTACGCCGTATTCACTTGCTAAACTACTGAATGTTTCATTGCGATTTAAGCGGTCTAAAATATCACATTTTTATTTAATTGACAATGTTTTGTGCTTTCGCTTCTGAGTTTGTGATGACATTACTAGGTACTATACTTAATACACAATGAGTAAATAGTAAACAATGAACGCACGCTAGGCCGTACCGCTATCCCAAGTAGTCAAATTCAAACTAAGTAAAACAATGCTTACGCGTCGAGCACGATAGAGGTGGTGCGTACAAGTTGTAACCTGTTCAAACCTGCGTGATCTACATTAGCGAATATTGTGAAATACGTATGTATGTAATTCATATTCAAAGACATGTCGGATTACAAGGGGCGCCAGATTAGACAGGGGCCGGATTATCGGGGGTCCACTGTAATTGTTAAATGCCAGATGATGGTCTTGGGGTTTGAAACTGTCATGAAATCCATGTTGACTTAGCCTTGCTATTTTTTTTACTAAAGTATGTTTTACAAAAATATTATTCTATCATTATCTATGATATTACATCGATGACTGATTTTGAAGCTAGAAAAAATAATAATAATTGTATTGTTCTAATCCTGTAGGGAGGTGAGAAACTGCAAGATGCTTATTATATCTACCAAGAACTGGTAGACAAGTATGGATCTACCCCACTTTTGTTGAATGGTCAAGCTGTAACTTTTATGGGACAAGGCAAATATGAAGAGGCAGAGGCAGCACTTCAAGAAGCTATTGACAAGGATGCAAAGTATCCTGACACATTGGTGAATATGATTTGGTTAAATAGGCACCTTGGCAAATCAGAGGTAAGGTGAAATATATATGCATACATAGGTTTTTATAGGGACTTCCATACAATAAAAAGTTATTACGCACCAAATAGCATAACACAACTATAACCCCACCAACAGTTTTCATTTTTTCTCTAGTTGGTTTAAAGGTAAATTAATATAACTTGGGGGTGCTGAATTTGTCATTAAATCAATTAGAATAAGCTCCATATGTATTATTTTTGTTTGTTTCGTCAGCCTTATAAGTTATATTAAGCTATAATTGAACCGAGCAAAAGAAAGCCAGAAGTTGTTGCTGGCCCTATAGTTATGCTCTCATATTTGGAGATGTCTGTTGTAACTGTTATTTTGTACCGTTCTTATGTTTCCAGATTGCTAACAGATATCTTTCTCAACTGAGGGACACTCACTCTGAACATCCCTATATAAAAGAATTGGATCAAAAACTGGATGAATTCCGCCATATATGTAAACAGTACCTTCCATCTAGGCAAACTATTGAGGAATAAAGCTTAAAATATATTAGGTATACTAAATTATATAACAGATTGTTATATGGAATAGTGATTAAAGACATATGGTTCTAATTCTTTTTTCATTTTATATAAACATTTTTACATATTAATATATCATAGATAAACGTTAAGTTGTTCAAAAAGTTTGTCATTGTGGATATAATAAAGATGTTATAAAACAGATTGCTACATTATTGAACCAGCGTCTGCAGTCAGTTGACAAATCAAGCTGAAAATTTATTCATTTTACTAGTAAGGGATACTGAACAGATATGCCAAAAATTATTAAAATCGGATAAACATACGTAGCTGTTTACCTTTTTTTGTCACTAAGTATATAATGCTGACATTATAACATATTTCATGGCTACTTAAATGGCAGATAAATGGTAGCTCATTTTGCAAAATGATAATTATCACCTCACTTAATCTGTTAATAGGGATATATTTGGTTTATTTGAAGTGCAACAGAGAAAACAATTCATTATTATCTTATCATTTTATTCAAAATCACAGAATTCATTTCGCAATACGTTGTGAGCACAATTGTACATTTTTCAGTAAACCTACTCAGCGCACGGATTTCAGCTATCCGCTTAGAAATATGCTTATAAAAAAATAATACTTCTTCTGCTAAGTTTTAGACAGTCGGTTTGTTAAGATCATGAATAGAGCACACGCTAGAAAATTGCTTCTTATGCTAAACATACAAGATAGAATTCCCGATGTTAGCGGTCCAATGAGTTGAGCAATGGTATTTATGTTATTAAAACATTTCAAGGCAATTGTCGTGCGGTTTCTTTTGCCTTTAGATTGATCTGCTTCGATTTTTAAATGTAGCAAATCGTCCAGAGCCGAGTCTATAAACGACTTCGCTGCCGAATTCATCGTGATTGCTAAAATAAACACGGGCAAATCCGACGTGACCGAGGAAATCGCGTAAGTGGCCACTATCACGGTCGTGAAATGCCGCACTCTTAAGTAACCAGAATCTTCCGCGTAATACCTCGATCGAACCGTACCAACGAACCAACTTGCCACTATCGGAACGGTCATGTTGAAAACGATGCAATATCCGATTGTCGCCATCGGCAATCGGTATTCCGCGTTCAACGTTGTCCCTAGCGCGTTGAAGTTGATCACCGAAACGTATTCCACGAACAGTTTGATCGCAAACACGTCTTTGTATTGAGAAGACGCCAACATACTCAAATCCGTAAACAACGATGACATCTCTTGCCAGGCTTCTTCTATAATGTTCATATTTTTTTGGGCGTCTTTAGATTTCTTCGAGTCCTTAGTTTGTTTGGAATCCTCTTCAGGTAAAGATTTCACCAAAACTGAGAAAGAATAAAGATGAGAACGCATCATTTCTATATCACAAACATAAACATAGTCGCAACATACAGGGTGGTCCATAAGTCCTTTGAAATTTCAAATTTGAATAAAATTTAACGGGTGAGCGTGAGCGGCGCGGGCGAGGTGGGGGCAGTATCTTCAGTGTCTGGGAATTCAGTCGCCATGGAGTGTTTCACTGGAGCGGATCGTGCTTTTTGTGTGCGCGCGTTTTATCAAAATGATGATTCGGCAACCATTGCGCGGCGTAAATATCGAGAATAGCACAATTTACACAAATTTACAAAGTGTCCAACAGCTCAAACGATTAAGAACTGGGTTGCTAAGTTCGAAGAGACTGGTTCGACGTTAGATAAACAGCGGTGGGGTCGACCAAGGACAACTCGTATTGAAGAAAACATCAACATTGTGGCACAGTCTGTTCGTCAAAATCCTACCCAGTCTACTCGTAAGCGTTCCAGTGCACTAAACGTACCCAGAACATCTTTACAGCGGATTTTAAGGAAAGATTTACGTCTGCACGCTTACAAAATTCAGTTAGTGCAGGAATTAAAAGATAATGACGCTATTCAGAGACTAAACTTTACGAATGAAATGTTGAATCGATTTTCTTCGCTCAATAATGCGTTGTTCTCGGATGAGGCTCACTTCCATTTAAACGGGCATGTAAATAAACAAAATTGCCGTTATTGGAGCCCCGAAAATCCAAGGCGTAAGAATCAAAAGCCCTTACACAGCCCTAAAGTTACAGTTTGGGCTGCTATGTCAGCGCATGGCATCGTAGGCCCTTATTTTTTTGAGGACGACAGAGGTCGCGCATTAACTGTTACTTCGGAGCGGTATGTAGCAATGATAGAAGAGTTTTTGACACCAGCGTTGCAGAATTTTCCAGGCTATAATACGCAGACCTGGTTTCAACAGGACGGAGCAACTGCCTACACCTCTAACACTTCTATGCCCGTCGTCTGTCAACTTTTTCCCAGCAAAGTAATTTCTCGAAGAGGAGACATTTCCTGGCCACCACGTAGTCCAAATTTGACCCCAATGGACTTCTTTTTATGGGGCTACCTCAAGAGTAAAGTGTACGCACCACTCCGCGATCAGTTGATGTCCTGAAAGAAAATATCCGAAGAGAAATGGCAAGCATTATAGTGTTGACTTGCCGCGCAGTCATCGACAATTTTAGACGTCGTTTATATGAGTGCCGTGATCGTAATGGATTGCATTTAGACGATGTGATTTTTAAAACATAATTCCCATTCAATAAAGATGATAACAAAATATAATAATTCTTCATAATGTAACTAGTTTGGTTTTATTCCTTTTTTTCCAGCTCAAAGGACTTATGGGCCACCCTGTATATCACAAACATAAACATAGTCGCAAAATATAACATAAATGCAGCACTGATTTAGGAATACCCTTAATTCTGTGCCACAGTTAAATATGATTCATTTGAAATGTATACAGGACGTTATACAAATATATAAATCATATTTTAATGATAAATTCCTAGATGCTATTATCGGTATAACCTTCGAGAAGATAACTTACCAATAGAAATGAGAATGTTCCCTATCATCGACATATACACATATTCGTTTCCTCTGACGTAATCACCGGAATATCCTCCAATCACTCTTCCAACCATGAAACCTACAGTTCCGATGGTTTCCAAATTCATCAATACCTTAGAGGATTCGTCGGTGTCTTTAGAATGTTTTGTTATTTCACTTTTCAATATGGCTTGTACTGGAATGCTAGCAACTGCAAAAAGTACCTTACCGTTATCCGTTTTAATAATGTCACAATAGAACAAAAATATACAAATTTGAATTGTGTAACGCAAGATAAAATGTCGTCAAGTAGCTTGACTCAGCACTTTCCACTCTACTCTGATATCAATCCGTAACAATTATGTTCGGCACAAGTTAGCCAAGTCTTAAGAACACATGCACGGGGAAATCTATTATGTGCGAAATAAGTACTAATAGAAGCATATAACTGCCGGAATTTGAAACGTATAAATATAGTAACGCCAAATAATTTATATATACAGGGTGGCGCATCGAAAACGAAACAGATCCATTTACTGGCAGCTCAGTTTTTTTTTTTGGAAAAACGCTCAGACCCGTCGATTTTGTTTTCGAGGGGGACAAAAAAATCACGTTAGCACGAGCAGCCCCCTAAGCGGGGGTGACACCACCCCCAAAATCTTAAATGGAAAGGGTGGTCGAGTGATACCTTACTTTAAAGGTCTTTCAATTCCCTTTATAATGATATAAAATTAATGTACTTCAGTTCAATAGTTTTTTTTAGACTAATTTAATAAGACAGGGACTGCATTCAAATAAAGAACAATACTCACCACAAATCAGACGAGCAACGAAGTATAAGAGGACCGATGAAGTTGCCGCCGAAAGTACGTTCCCTAATACAGAGAACAATAAGCACCACACCATAACGTTTTGTTTATTGTTCTTATTACTTATGTGAACCTAAAACAATAATTTGATATTTAAATATAGGAAAGAATATACCGGGTGCTTCAAATTCGACCCTCATTGAAGTGAGGAAAAATAAAACATTATTTTGTCATGAATCTGGTATACGAAACAAATGACTATATGATAATTTCAAGAATACCTAGGAAATTCTGCCTTTTTAAATAACTAAGGTTTGGCAATGTCAATGTATGTATGCATGATATATAAACCTTTTTGGAATCGGAATTAAATACTCTATTCATCTGTGCAAATATCCAATATGGTGTTCATAAGCAAAAATAAAGTTAACGCTGGAGGATAAGAGAAGAAACGTTATATTGAAATTCTAACTATGCCGTCTTGAAGAGGACAAAAAGTGTCAATAATTTATTTTGAAACGAGCGAAAAAGCGATTTTGGGAAAATCCAGTTTTTCGGTCTCTCTTCAGAAGTACTTTGGATTTGGAAACTTCATAAGCGGCATTTTGTTAGTTGCCTAAATACGAAACATTGCCCACATTTAAGCCACTATCTAATAATTATATTATAATATATAATAGTTTTTTAAGAGTTTGAATGTTTATCTCTACCAAATATGTTAACTTAACATCGTATCGTACAGCCAGAAACCATAATCGTGAAAAGTTGTGGACTTTAAAAAAAAAGGCAAATAAAAATATTTTACGACGGCCTAACTACCCAAAAAACAACCAAATAACAATATCAGTAAATATAATATACCTTACCACACTGGCTTTCGAGAAAATTGCTAATAGCGCTATGAGGGATTTTAAGAGTCCCACCGTAAAAAAAGTCCCACCCAGCTGGATAACATGCTTCGGCTGTATCGCCAAGTAGGTCCCCAGCGAAAATGCATCCTGAAAATATGAAAAGCATTAATGCCCGTGAATTTTGATACCATATGGTTGTCGAGAGACAGCTTACGATTTGGATACCTCCAAGTACTTGACTTGTAAGATGAAATGGTTTTGAAGCTACTCTGATCTGTCTGATAAGGTACAATAAAAAATGATTGTTGAAAACTTTTGAGTACTCGAACAACAACGTTTTTCCAAATTTTGTCATATTTGAAAACTAACTGAACCCAAAATTTATCATAAATTCACCAAAAATTGCAAAGCTTTTCGAGTTCGAGAAGCCAAGCATTAGTAGACAAGCAGATGTAACACAAATAAGGAAACGATCCACTATAAAAAATATGGCATCGTCATCGTCCAGTGGGAAATTTTACTTTTTGATTAAAAAAAAATATATGCAAACTTAATGAAAAGAAAATAGTTACTACTATCAACATATTCGTAAATTCGACGGGTTTTATTTCTTAAATATCATACCGTCCAAATGTTTGCCATCCCTTCGGACACACTCTTCTAATTGCGCGCGCAAATGCTGAAACACTCTGAGTGATGTTGATCATTCAGGATGTATCGTAAATTACAAACATAATTTTGATATGTATATGTAGATAATGGCATACCATTCTAAATTTTGATGCTGAAAAATAAGTTTTCACGTTCGAAACTCAGCATAAATAGGTTATGGTAGAATACTTACCAATGCAAATATACAGTATATGTAGAACATGCTTTACGTTATATAATATAGCTACATGTCTCTGAAAGACTCAACAACAGTGAAAGTGATTGGACAGCCGGCGAATTCGTTTGTTCGTCTGATAACAGTTATCAGCTGAAAGTTATGCTCGCGAACAATATGGACTGGTTCAAAGTGATACACGGCGTTTCCGTAACAACGTTATATTCATATTTCTTATACCTTCGTTTAAACACCTATTTTGAAATCATTTGTAATTATTCGACGCTCCGCTGCCGACTAGTCCTTGAACCAACGAGATTATTTATATTTCAAAAAATGACATTGATTGTCGTATATAGGGTGATCCTAAACATGTATAAACATAAATCCTGAAGTACCGTTTGTTGAAATACAAGGTTTAGTTATAATCTCATTACTCGAGTCAGTTCGCAAGAAACAACAAACAAGTTCAATTAATAAATATATTTGCATATAATTTCGAACAGAATATAGACAAGTCAAATGAATACTGAATCCTAATTGCGACATACAAAGTGGCGCATCGAACAGGAAACAGACGCATTTACTGGCAGCTCAGTTTTTTTTTGGAAAAACGCTCAGACCCGTCGATTTTGTTTTCGAGGGGGACACAAGTTTGACAAAAAATCACGTTAACACGTGCAGCTCCCTGGGCGGGGGTGACACCAACCCTAAAATCTTAAATGGAAAGGGGGGTCGAGTGATACCTTATTTTAAAGGTCTTTCAATTCCCTTTATAATGATATAAAATTAATGTACTTCAGTTCAGTAGTTTTGAAGATTTATTAATTTAAAGCTTAAAGTAGACTTTAATAGATACATCAGATTAGTTTGTGCTACTTTCAGAATAAATTTGACTAAAAGAATTTACTTAATAAGTAAATGCTTTTCTTCACTACGCTCATGGTTTGTTTATCATTTTGTTGTTGAAAATAGCTATTGGAGCGTTTTTTGTGGCAAAAAAGTTATTTCTTGAAGAAAGATAAGGAAATACCTCGTACTTATTTTAAATAGGAATTTAGTTCGCAGTTTGCGATTGATTTGACCAAACTTTGTTGCTAAAATAACTTGTAACGCTTTATTATATAAATTAACCATGGTATATTCCACAGCAGAAAGAGTTGAAATTATCGAAATATTTTTCGGAAATAATCAATGCCCTAATAGAACAGCAGAAATATTTAATGAGCGACATGAGAACAGTAACGTGCATCGAAAATATGTTCTAGAACTTGTAGCTAAATTTCGGGAAACTGGATCAGTCGCCAATAAAGAACGCAACATTGAAAATCCCATAAGGAACGAAGCAATAGAAGTGACCCCCCTTTCCATTTAAGATTTTGGGGGTGGTGTCAGCCCCGCTGAGGGTGCTGCACGTGCTAACGTGATTTTTTGTCCCCCTCGAAAACAAAATCGACGGGTCGACGGGTCTGAGCGTTTTTCAAAAAAAAAAAAAAAATTGAGCTGCCAGTAAATGCGTCAGTTTCGTTTTCGATGCGCCACCCTGTATAATTTATTGAGCCAGCAATTTCGGCAAATGCAAAACTACTAAATATTTATTGTAAACAGGTAAACAGATCTAAAATATTAACTGACAATACACGAATTGAAACGTTGTCGAACAGAATCTGAATCGAGAATTGATAGTCTACCCACTAATAAATGAGAAAGAGCCTTGAAGTACGGCGATGTTCGTCGCGACGCGACGCAGAAAATTAAACTTTGATTGGGCGGATAGCGAACGTAAATGCTGCATCGGTTGCATCGTAGTAACACCACAGCTGATGCGAGATTCTGATGCATTTTTAAGCTGGTGAGTGAATTTTTTCATATCTCTACATGTTTGTGTTCTCGTAAATTATGTGAAGAGTAAATTATATTAGTCTAACGCGATACCTACAAAGTAGGGCGAATGTGTCAGTGGTCGAACAGTTCAGACAAAAATGGAATACAAAGTGTAATTACGACTTTCGTGTTCAACTCAACTAAGAAATATATACAGGGTAGCCGATATGTAACTGACTGGTTTGTTTCTTGAATATTTGTGAAATGAAATAAAATACGTCCATTTTTTTCATCTTCATATTTTATTGAAAATTAGAAATTATGTATGAAAAATAATATCAGACAAATGTCCGACTCTAGAAGCCGCATAATGACGTGCGACGACTACCCAGTTCTCGAGAAAGATGTCTGGTAGATGTCTCAGGGCGTTCCACTACACTTTCACGAGTACGAACAGACCTTGGCAAGTGTTTAACTTCACCTGTTTGTTCAAATTTCCATATCAACTGACGAATGCTGTTGACACTGGGCACATTTTCTCGACCGAAATCTTGTTGTAGCTTCTGAGCCATTGCAACAATCGACTCATTAACGTTTTAACAATGCGGACGCGTTGAGGGGTGGTGTAGCGCTGTATGATGAATTGGGCACATGTGCTTTGAACAACTGCTGCGGCGCCGCCTACTGAAAGGCGTATATTAAATGTGATGCGCAATTTAAATCAGTCAGGTATATATTGGTCACCCTGTATAATAAAATTTGAAAATTTGTGATAGTAGAATAGAAATTTCTAATCGGCTGTCATTAAGACTTTGGGGAAAAGAAACTAAAAACGCTCATACTGAGTCTATTTAATATATATATATTTTTATCAAAGATACATACAAACATTGTAAAAATGAACAAGAAACTAATTTTTTCCTTTGATCCGGTCCTGCACTGTCGTCTTTGAAATATCATGCTGTTTACATATTTCAAGCAATTTCCCGAGATTCCTTACAGCTCCGACTGTCTCCTAGCTTGTCTTCCCTGTATACATAGGTCGTGACCAAAAATGAAACTTCACACACAGGACAGCATTTTAAGGGAGATCTTCTATGTAACATTTTCTCCTCGAGGGCGCCATTAAAAATAAAACATATTTTTTTAATATCTTCAAAACCGTCAACTGGAATGAACTAAAATCTGGTATGTGGATTTAGCTAAGTATTGTCCACATTAAAAAAAGTCTTTACTTAAAATTCACGCGCACCAATGGCGGAGATGCAGGGTATTAGTGGCATTATTTTACCAAATAAAAATAGTAGGCCACTGTTTTTTTTTTTGAATTTCACTTTCAATCTGCTACAAATTATTACCCTTGTGTTTCTTCCTAGAGTGCATTTTTTCGTAAAAATAAGAGAAAACAAATTAGATAAACAAAGCTTTATTTAAATAAATGCTCAAAAAGACCACCATTCTGATGGATACAAGTGCGGCATCTTTTTAAAACGTATTTCCCCAAAATTTGTTGTGGCTTGAATTTGTTGAAACGCATTATCTATTCTTTCTTGTTGTTGATCAACAGCATTAATTTGTTCAGCATACGTTAGTTGTTTAAAAGCGCTCCACAAATAGAAATCCAGGAGGTTCAATCCATCGTAGTCTAAAATGTCTATTTAACCATGCGGTTATGTCACGTCGAACATGCGATGGGGGGGGGGGGAGGCACTGACGTGCTGATATCACATTCGTACTCTCGTCACTAACGGAACATCATCTAACACGTGTTCTATGTAATTCTCTATAAAAGCTAAGTATGAGTTTACATTTAAACACTGTTTCAATACGTGCATAAACAGTTGGCCATTGAAAATGCGGCACCAGACATTTCTAGAAAATCTCTGTTGAAACGAGTGGATTCTTACAGAACGGGGATTTTCGCCGTTGCACTTCGTTGCCGGGTTGCAGACAATGCAGATTTTGCCGATAGTAGGGATGTAAAACTTCCCGATTTGAAATTCTGGACAATACTTAGGTAAATCCACATACCAACTTTTAGTTCATTAGATTACGAAATGATTCATACGGCATTTCAATACCACATGTCCACAAAAAACTAATTGATAAATCGAACTAAAAAAGGATAAATAAATAAGTAAAAGGCGTGAGGTGCATTTTACTACATTTTCATAACTCTCCTCTCAAAGATAGTTGCACCCCACGCATGATTGTCCATCTACTACTGTAATATGAACTCTACGTACTTAAAAATTATTTTCTACTTCTTAGTTTGGTTAGCTATAAAATTTATTTTAAAAGTCGTTCGTTCTTTGCATATTCATAATTGGCGTTGAAAGTGAACATGTGTTAGTATCGTTAATCCATCAGTAAATAATAATAATCATGAACGCGAGTGAATTAAAATTATAAGCATTCCTTTGGTATCTGCATTGTAATCAGTATAAGTATAATCTTAATACATATATGACAATAATTTGGTAGTTTTACTTGGGAAGTTTTTGAAAGCTGACTTCTTTTTCTTTGACCATGTTTTACGTATTTTGTTTATGCTTTGTTAATCATCATTCATCATTATGAATAAAGTAGCTACTGAATTTTCGAGACTAATTTATAATATTTTATTTTCAGAGCATACTTTATAGCACCTACGTATCTGATTGGTTATCGTGTGCGACTTTTTTGAATTCCGGTTTTCAGGTGCTTTAATTACCAGGTCCAATTTTGAAAAAACTACGATACTTATCAGTGAAATAAATCTATGCAACACTTCAATCCGTTTTTCCAATATAGCTTTATTTTTCATTTAATGTTATCTAATCATATTGAAACCGAAAGTGAAGCAACACATAATCGACCGAGCAGATGAGAAAGTAATCCGCGTATTCACATACGTGTATTTTAAGAGCCGTTTTTGACCAGATCGGTGCCACACAAGATGATTCTTCTTTTATTTGGGATAGCTATCATAGCAACCCTATTCTACTACTATTGCATCAAACCGATGAGCTATTGGAAGAATTTAGGGGTACAGCAAACCGAACCGATTTGGTTTTTCGGAGATAGCTGGAGGAACATTCTCAGATACCAAAATGTTTTGGAATTGATAGACTACCTCTATTATGGATCCGGAAATGGAAGGTATTGTATGTCAATAGTAATAGTATTTTTAGCGACTTCGAAGTTGAGTCATTTATTTTAACAGTGAGTAGATCTGATCAAAAGAAATGTTTTTTTCCTTTACCATTTTTCTGGTAAAATTAAAGTAACAAAGTTATAACCCTTTGGAAGTTTGAGTACCGCCCTGTCTCAATAATAATATTATGTGCTCGTGTTTGGCAACAACGGATATAATCCGCCTTATCGGTTCATCGCATCGGAAACAAAAAAGCGAAAGAATTTGGAACGATGTTTTTACAATTATTTTATTCAGTTGTATACAGTCAGTGTCAGTCGGTAACGCGTGAGTGAATAGTGGCGTCTGTTGCGTGGCTCAAACGAAATAAAAAATGGCACATGTTTACGAAAATGCTGAACTTGTGGACATGATGGTTGACATTTCCAAACCTCAGTTAATGCAGAAAACAGAATTGCCTAGGTAGGCCTTGAAATTATTAGTTGCCAATATGTTACACCAGTTCCTTGAATTACGATGCATGTTGAAAATATGCGTTACTTTTTTGTCTACGCCCAAATGATGGTTTATTTTGAGCGTACAAATTTTTCGATTGTGAAGAATCTGTTTAGGATCGATTCCGGATCGAAGCACCATACCATTTGTACAAAAAAATGGCAGCAAATTAAATCCGGCGCTCTTTTGGAGACACCCTTTATAATAATTAATAATAATACGTTTGTAGATATGGAGGCTGCTACACATTCACAACGCCTACTTTGATCATAAAGGATCCCGAGTTGACTAAACAAATCCTCGTGAAGGATTTTGACCATTTTGTCGATCACTATCTTTTTCAAGGATCTGACTATGACCCGTTGTGGGGGAAAAATCTAATAGCGCTGAAAGGTAGGTATTTTCTAAAAAGATTCAGGCAGGTGCGGTTTTGTTTGTTATCGTTTATGGAGCAGTTGAGTGTGTTTTTACTGTATTCAGGTGAAAAATGGCGTGAAATGAGGTCGATCCTGAGTCCCTGTTTCACTTCGAGCAAAATGAAAGCCATGTTCAAGCTGATGTTAGATTGCGCCGAAAGATTCACCGAATATTTTCTGTCGCTGAGCGTTGCCGAACAGACCGAAAATCAGGCGATTCCACTGGAAATGAAAGAGACTTTCACGAGATACGCTACCGACGTGGTGGCATCGACAGCGTTTGGTGTTGAAGTGGACTCTTTGAATGAACCGAATAACTCCTTCTACTTGATGGGCAGGCGTGTCACCTCTTTCGGTTTTTGGAAAGCCATGAGATTCTTCATGAACATATTGCTACCGAAAGTGTGCGCGGTATGCTATCAGAATAAATATCAATGATAATCTGACGAACATTTTTTGTATGACTGAGATGCTTTCAGATTTTCAGAATTCGATTCCTAGATGACGAAACTATGTCATTTTTCATCGGTGTTGTCGAAGAAACAATAAAGGTGAGAGAAGAAAAGGGCATAGTACGACCTGACATGATACATTTAATGATGGAAGCGAGGAAAGGAAAACCAAAAGTCGAAGAAGGAGCTGCAGACGATGAAACATCCATCTCTCATGTTGATGGTAAAGAAACCTCTACGGCGCACTTATACCTGTTTTCAACCTAGAACCCTAAAAAGTCATTTACGCACAATTAAATAACTTAACAAATTTTTTTGTCATAGTTTTCGATGAAACGACAAATATCACGAATACAAAATAACGTTTACATGGATCTACTTAAGCAATCCAAAGTAATCATTGAAATTCAAAATTTGATGAGTTATCATATTATTCAGAGAGACGTATAATGTTTTTAGTTAAAACTCCTGTGAACATAACCAACATGGACATAGCTGCTCAGGCGATGATATTTTTCTTCGGAGGTTTTGAGACCAGCTCAAATCTGATGAGTTTCCTGGCATATGAACTAGCAGCAGATTCTGATGTCCAATCCAAATTAAGGACCGAGATCGAAGATACATGGAATGAATGCAACGGAAAATTGACCTACGAGGCACTACTCAAAATGAAGTATTTAGATATGGTTATATCAGGTATACGATATCACTTTGTAGCCTCAATGATCTGATAAGTCTCATATTTTGTGCCTATTATCTGTCGAAAATTGTTCGTAAGAATACAATTAAAATTTATTTAGGCGTACGAGGCGCTACCGATTGTTGTGAAATGACGTTAGTTTTGGAGATATACCGGGTATTTCAAATCCGACCCTCACCATTGGGATCTCGGAAATGATAAAAGTTATGAAATGCCGCCTAGAAACTTCCGAAGAAAGGCGAATTTTCCAAAAATTGTTTCATTTTCTTCCTGGCTTTATTTGTAGTATGATGTTGAAGTAGATTGCACATTATCATTACCACTTTAGTCCTTTACAAGATGGCATAATTAGAATTTCAATATGACGCTTCGTCTCTTGTTCTCCAGCATCAATTTTATCTTTTCTTATGGTCGCTTTATTGGATTTTTACACAGACGAATACAATTTTTAATTCTGATTCCAAAAATGCATAATGTGTCATAAATTGACATTGTCAAACCTCAATTATTGCAGAAAAACGTAAGTTCCTAGGTAGACCTTGAAACTATCATAGTAATTTGTTTCATATACCAGATCTCAAACTGAACATACAGGGTGACTTTGAAGTTGAGTCATTAATTTTCAGATAATGATTGTAGAAGGAAGATAAACCAAAATATGTGTGTAAAAATAAAAAAAAATTTACCTTGTTTTATAAAGTATCCTCCCGACAAGTATTTCAGTGCGGACCTGTATTTGATCGTGCGGTCTTGGAGCACCGGCATGCCGTCCCCTGTGAGGTCTTAAGTCACCTGATTCACGAGCCCTTTGTACTACATTAACAAAGGCACGAGGGGTTGGTTGCACTCGATTGGGAAACCGATCCGCATAAATATGTGCCATTTTTGATTTCGTTCGAGCCACGCAACAGACACCACTATTCACTCACGCGTTACCGACTGACACTGACTGTATATAACTGAATAAAATAATTGTAAAAACATCGTTCCAAATTCTTTCGCTTTTTTGTTTCCGATGCGATGAACCGATAAGGCGGATTACATCCGTTGTCGCCAAACACGAGCACATAATATTATTATTGAGACAGGGCGGTATTCAAACTTCCAAAGGGCTATAACTTTGTTACTTTAATTTTACCAGAAAAATGGTAAAGGAAAAAAACATTTCTTTTGATCAGATCTACTCACTGTTAAAATAAATGACTCAACTTCGAAGTCACTCTGTAGTAACAGAGTTTGAAAGACTGAGAAGAAGGGAAATAAAAAGAACAATGAACCATCTACAGAGAAGAGTAGGGTTTGCCTAAATAATAATCGCCAACCTCTGCTTACTTGTGATTCTTATTGCTATTACCATTAATAAACATTTCATGCCCAAATGAGAAAAGACATCACTCACTTTAGGACTAATAACTCCATTTAAATGTACATTATTTCAATATAGTGACTATGGAAAAACACAGTTGGTGATGGAAGTCGAAAGGGGAAACCTCGCATTGAAAATGATTTTGCGATAAATCTAGTATGCGAAACAAATGACTGTCTGGTCTGAATTTCAAGGTCTTCTAATTAAAAACTCGATTCACTCGTACAAAAATTCAATATGGCGTCGTTGAGAAAAAAATAAAGTTGGTGGCTAGAGATGAAACGTCATATTGAAATTCTAATTATGCCATTTTGTAGAGGATAAAAAGTGACGACGTTAATGCTCAATTTATTTTTAGATGTCACTACAAATACAGCCAAAAATTAAAAGGATTTTGATAAAATTATTATTTTTCTTCGTAGTAGTAGTTTGAGTTTCGAAACTTTTTAGGCGGCATTTTGTTAGCTATCTAAGTAAGCAAGCGTGCTTCGTATCTCTTACCGTTTCCGAGATCCCACTGTTGAGGCTCGAATTTGAAGGACCCTGTATGTATCAAGGTCATCAAAATATCATGACTAGAGGATAATCTCTACGAAGTGATAATGTGATATTACGAAAAAAGTACAGAGTAAACCGACTTGACGCAATTTTTCTGTTTAGAAACGCTACGTAAATGGCCAGTGAATCTAGCGACAGACAGACTGTGCACCAAGCCGTATACCATCGAACCAGCGCATCCAAATGAGAAACCACTTCACCTGAAAAAAGGTTCTTATGTGTCATTCCCGACGTACTCCATTCAGCACGATCCCAAGTATTTTCCAGATCCAGACAAGTTTGATCCGGAGCGGTTCAGCAGCGAAAACGCGCACAAGATCGTACCTTACACGTATTTACCCTTTGGAGGTGGTCCGAGGGTCTGCATCGGGAACAGGTTTGCGCTTTTGGAAACGAAAACGTTATTTTTTTATCTATTGAAAAGCTTCGAGATTGTTTTCATAGAGAAATCTTGCGTACCTCTCGTCATCTCAAAAAAGGATTTCAATCTTGTTATGCAAGGTGGCAATTGGTTAGGGTTCAAATCGCTCAAAAAGGGCGCCTGAAACAGGAACGTGCTAAATGCAATTAACGCGACATACTGATGTGTAATGTGTTTTTTTTAAATTATTTTCTAGCTTTTTAGTTTCATTTATATGTAAAGTAAGTAAAAAGTACATATTTTGAATCTATAGACAAGCAATATATTTTTGTTTTTTATTGTTAATACAGGGTGGCCAAAATATAACTGACTGATTCAAATTGCGCGTCATTTTTGATATACGCATTCAGTAGGAGGCGCCGTTTACTTAAATAATCGGTCGATTGTTGCACCGATTCGGAAGCTACGACAATATTTCGGTCGAAATAATGTGCCCATTCGTCAGTTGGTGCAGAAATTTGAGCAAGCAGATTTGCCAAGGTAGGGCCGTGTTCGAACTGTTCGTACTCCGGACAATATCGATAGAGTTCGGGAAAATGTAGTGGAGCGCCTAGACATCGTTCTCAAGAACTGGATATTCCTCGCACGTCATTATTCACTATTTTAAAAAAAGACTTGCATTTGCGGCCATACAAAATTCAGTTAAGCCCCCTTCGATATATACGAATTTGTTAACAAGCAAAATTGTCGTATCTGGGCATTAGACAACCCTGATGTCATCCATCTACGACCACTACATCTTCGTCGAGTCACAGTTTGGTATAGAGGTGCCATTGGACCTTACTGCCTTGAAGACGCTGCAGGTAATTCTCTTACTCTCACTGGCGAGCGCTTCCGTGATATGGTGCAACAGTTTCTGGTTCCTCAAATCCAACAATTTAACCTGAAATGAATCTTTTGCGAATACTATTTCCGGGACGTTTAATTTTTCGTTTTAGTGATGTCAATTGGCCGCCAAGGTCACCGGACTTAGCGGCTCCTGACTTTTTTATATTGGGATTTTTCAAAAATAGGGTTTATGTCAACTAACCGAATAGAGCAGCTGAAGAACAATATTACGGAAGCGATTGAAAATATTCCTCCCGAAACCTACCTACCAAAAAGTGATGAGTCTAGAGGCGGACATTTGTCTGATAATATTTTGCATACATAATTTCTAAATTTCAATAAAAGGTTAAGATGAAAAAAATTGACATATTTTATTTCATTTCACAAATACTCAAGATACACACCAGTCAGTTACATATCGGCAACCTTGTACATAAGCTAAAGGCACCATGTGTACCATAATCTATATAAAATAAAGGTTTTCAATTTAAAAACTGATTCTTTTTTTCAAAGTACGAGAATATGATTAAAATATATATACAAGGTATCCAATATTATATGGACATAGAAGTACCACGAATTTTTAGACTCAAAATAAGTCGATTGAACATAATTTACCTCTACGCAAAGGTGCTTTGTTGGTCCGTTAGAGGGCGTGAAAGTTTTCTTATAATAAGAAAATTATTTAGAAATTAGTTCCGAACTATTCCAGATGTTCTTCATTTGTAGGAGATAAAAAACGAAGTGAATAAAGGGATCTTTTAAATTTATAAATCAGAGTCATTGGGAGAGTTGTGAAAAAATTCTGCTATAATTTATATAGGGGTGGGGATAGTTTTCACCCTTCTCAAACCCTTCGTCTAGCAAAATACATGTGTTACAAATTTCATTCAAATGTTTCCAAAAATATCTAAAAAAAAACTTGTTGTAAATCGAAAACTTAGACGCCATCTAACGGACAAACTAAGCACTTTTGCATAGAGAAAAATCATTTCCAATCGACTTATCTTGAGTCTGAAAATATGTGCTAGGTACTTTGGGACGCCCTGTATATAGATAGTGATTCTACTTTACTTTTATTTCAGAATTCAGTTAGTCTGCTTCCCAGTTAGATTTATTATAAAAAGATCTTTTGCCTTGTCCTAATGAAAGAATTTTTTTTTTTTTTTTTTTTCTCTACTTTATTAGCGATCAGAGTGTATGTACATTCTATAAGCTAATTTGCTGGATGGTACAATTTTTAAGTAGTTGTACCTCATGACGGGATGAAGCAGACATCCAACGATGTCACCTCAGTCTTGCAAGTCTAGTGGCAATTTCCTTTTCAGTCTCCTGGTCTCAGTGGGATCTAATAGCGATGGCAGCAGTGGGTTTGGATGGTCGCTAAGCCTAGCATGGTGTTTGCAACTTCTTTCCATGATGACTTCCCTGATGAATGGGATTTTCAGATCCCTATGGAGCGTTTCATTTGAGACATACCAAGGCGCATCTGCAATGCTTCTAAGGATTTTTGATTGAGCTCGTTGAATGATTGAAAGGTTTGACTTGCTAGCGCAGCCCCAGAGTTCGATCCCGTAAGTCCAAATGGGCTTGATGATGGCTTTGTATATCAGTAACTTGTTTTCTATGCTTAGTTTTGATTTGCGTCCTATCAGCCAATTTAACTCTTTACTTTTCAAGTCGATCTGTTTTCTTTTCTTGGATAAATGTTGCTTCCAGTTTATTTTGTTGTCCATGTGCAATCCCAGGTATTTAACACTTGCATGTTGAGGTATGGTGACTTGATTCAAGGAAACAGCTGGGCATTGTCCTTTGCGGAAAGTGAAGGTGATGTGCGTGGATTTGGTTTCGTTGACTTTGATCTTCCATTTGTTCAGCCAACTTCCTATATCGTCTAGGTGCCTCTGTAGTTTACTTGAAGCGTGGTCGGGATCTTCATCAGTTGCAAGAATCGCCGTATCGTCTGCAAATGTGCCAACTGTTGTTTCAGTTGTTGTGGGTATATCCGCTGTATATACGACATATAGTAAGGGACCCAGTATGCTGCCCTGTGGGACTCCTGATTTCATAGGGTAGTAGCTTGAAGTCTCACTGTTTACTTTAACTTTGTAGCAGCGGTCACTTAAGTAGGATTGTAGCAACTTGAGGTACTTGGCTGGCAATACTTTCTTTATTTTATGCAACAAGCCTGGATGCCACACTTTATCAAATGCCTGCTTCACATCTAGGAAGGCTGCCGTACAGTATTCTTTTCTTTCGAAGGATTTGGCGATTATATCCGAAAGGCGGTGACACTGCTGCACAGTTGAGTGAGCCGGCCTAAAGCCAAACTGATGATTAGGGATCCAAGCTAGCCGATCCAGTTGGCCATTTATTCTATTCAGGATAAGTCTTTCCAAAAGCTTAGAAATTACTGGCAAGAGGCTGATCGGGCGATAAGAACTAATATCCATTAGATTTTTTCCTGGTTTCGGTACCATAATTATTAGCGCACTCTTGAAGGACATGGGCCAGTAGTCTAGCCTTATAATCGCATTAAATATATAAAGCAATTTCATCAAGCCTTTCTTGGGAAGTTCTTGTAACATTTTGCCTGTGATCATGTCAGCTCCGGGAGCTTTTTTTATATTTAGCCTGTTTATTTCATTTTGTAATTCCTTCGGAGAGAAAGGTGCTAACCGTTCTTGAGTTAAAAGATGGATGAGATTGGCTTCATCTACTTCCTGCACTGGATCGTCATTGTGTGGGATGAACACTTCGGCAAGGTGTTGTGCAAATGCGTCAGCTTTTTCTTTATCGCTTTTTGCCCATTGACCATTAGCTACTGTTTGGCTACGGATTGGGGGTGATGTAGAATGAGGTTTTCTCTTAGCTTTTATGGGCTTCCATATGGAGTTATCTTGTCTCGTGAGTTGAGATACGTAGCCTTCTACGGAGGCATTCCTCATTTCTTGGAGTTTAGACTTTAGCTTATTACAGCAGGTGTTGTACTTTGTTCGGCTGGCTGGCGTGCGGGTACGTTGCCAGATTGATCGTGCTCTTCTCTTCTCTGCAACTAGCTTCTTTATTTCAACGGGGATATTTTTTGTTTTGTAAGCAGAGTCTATGAATGGTGTGGATTCTTTCGCTGCCTGTTGGAGTGTACAAATAAAGCTATTGCAGTCGACCTCTATATCATTTGGCTGCTTCAATCTGGTTGAGAGATTGATGTTATCTACAATTATCTGTTTGTATCTATCCCAATTTGTTTTGTTATTATGCAATCTTGGAGTGGGTTTCTTACATATCACTGCTGTGCTCAGAGTTAGGGTAATTGGGCTGTGGTCTGATGTGAGGTCAAAGCTTGAAGATATTTCTGTATAAGATGAAGATATGCCACTGGTTATGAAGAAGTCTAAAAGATCGGGAAGTCTATTTACATCTGTAGGCCAATAAGTAGGTGCTTCTGGTGAAATAAACGTGTAGTTGTTTTCTAATATGACTTGTATCAGTTCTCTTCCTTTTGTTGTTGTGAGCCGTGAGCCCCATGTGGTATGCTTGCTATTGTAGTCCCCCCCAACAATGAATTTTGGACCAAGAGTTATAAAGAAATTTTTGAATTGCTCATTTTTGAGGTTATGACGTGGTGGACAGTAGACAGCTGATACTGTTATATCGTAAGGAAGACTGTTTACTTTTACAGATGCTGCCTGGATATGGTTTTCTTCATACTTAGGCATTTCGTGGTGTTTGATTGTTTTTTTAATAAGTACTGCAGCTCCTCCATGTGCTGTACCATCGGGATGATTTGTATTGTAAAGTATATAATCGGGTATAGAAAAATAGCTTCTTTCAGTGAAATGTGTTTCACTGATTAGTAGGACGTCTATATAGTTTTGCTGTAAAAACAATTTAACTTCTTCTTTATGACTAGGAAGACCATTGGCATTCCACTGGGCAATTCTTAGAAAATTGGCCATTTTAATTGATTTTGTTGATTAGCGTGGCAATCATATTGAGGATCAGACTGTTTTGTTGTAGGAGCTGGTTGAACATATTTTTAAATTCATCTAGGAATTTATTCATTGTAGAAGTTAGACTTACCGAGTTTTCAGTGTTGTTGGCTACTGCATCTGCATACGTTCTTGAGTATTGGCGGTTAGTGGCGGGCTCAACATTGTTAACATAAGCTGGTTCACTAGTTATAGGTGGTAGGGGGGTTTGGAAGGTGGGATTTTTATTTTTCAATGTTCTGTGGTAGTGTTCGCAGCCTCTATAGTTTGCAGTATGACTGCCACCACAAAGGGCACATTTTGCTGGCGCATCTTTCGGCTTCTTGCAGTCCTTAGTATTATGGGGACCACCACATTTCACACATAAGTATGGTTTGTTGCAGTATGTTTTAGTATGTCCAAATTGTTGGCACCTCATACACTGGATGATATTGTTCTTTCTAGGTCTGGGTGGCTCTATTTGAATAGTTTTATTCTGCAATCCTCTGATGTTATATATATCTTTATTATTTTCGGCTGGCTCAAGATCTACAAAGAATAAGTTTAGTGGTTCTTTGGTAGTCCTATGAAGAACATTTATTATGCTGCGAACTTTGTGACCCAGTTTTCCCAGCTCCTCTTTTATATCATCGATTTTTGTAGAGTGATGTAGATACCTTATCACTACCCTGTATGATCGCTCTTCTTTCAGTTGGTAGGTATGGTGAAAGATACTATTTTCTTTGAAGTTTCTGATGAGCTTACGGTATGATTCTGGGGTTGCGCAGTTTATTTTCACAACGTTGTTTGCGAGGCTCTTCGTGATATATTGCTCGTCTTCTAATATGTCTCTAATGGTGTTGACCATTTCCTCGTAGTTGATCACTCCATGAACAAAGATTGGGGGTGGCTTTGGAATTCGTTGAGTGTTATTACCGACATTATCATCTGTTTTGTCTGCTAGGATATCAAATCTGTTGTTTACAGTTACAGTTTCTGTTGTTTCTTTGTTCTGCTCTTTGGCAACTTTCCTCCTTTTAACGCTTCTCATCACTTGCCACGGGTTATTTCTATTTTGTTGTGAGTCCTCTAATTCTTCTTCACTTGTTGATGACATTCTTAGTATTTGATTATGCTCTATTACTGACACATCCTGGCTATGAGACATTGTTGATGAAATGTTTTAGACCACCTGCATAACCGGTGCCACCAGCTCTTGCACTGCTAACTAACGACACTTATTTTGTTTCACGTTTTTACAGCTTTTGTTATGGAACACTTTTTTATTATTATGATTATATTATTTGTACTCGTACTCGTACTCGTCGATTCGCTTATCAGCACGTCCGTTTGCTACGAAATCCAAACGAGAACTCAATGAAAGAATATAACTGAAATTTTAAACAATTCCAACCATGTTTATAGATACGTTCGCGATGTTTTATACTTTCCAGATTATTAAAAATACTCACCAAAAAATAAAAATAAAATAAATAAAACATTCCGAGGGACCCTGAGACATA